GGAGATATTGGCAGCAGAATGATGAAGACAGTGATGATGAGGTGGAGATGGAGGGTGCAGTGGATCTGGTAAGGAGCACAGCACTCTTTAACTTTGTACTTGAATTCATAAAATTTCAGGCAACAATGCAATAAAAAACTTTACATTCGTTGCAGCATTTACTAATATAATTAAATTTTCTAAGATGCAACTAAGGAAGCAGGGCGAAACCTTGGGCAAGCTTCCTTACTCTACACGCCTAATAATAATCCCTCCAAAACCAAAATCAATAATAAATTGGTCATTTTCAATCTATGACTGTTTGTGGGACATTGCTGTGCACAATTGGCTGCCGCGTTCGCCCACAAATATACAGTCAATTCACTTTACAGTGTGTTCTGTGAAGCGCTTTGGGAGGTCCTCCCGACGTGAAAAGCGCTAAATCAAATGCAAGGATCATTATTATTAATTTGCATGCACAGATAACACAGATCAGGCCATTTGGACAAATTAGTCCATTTAAGTGTTTATTATAATAAAATCTTGCATTTGATATAGCGCCTTATCACATTGTTGAGATGACTTAAAGCGCTTCACAGAAACTGTAAAATAGGTTGACTGAATTTTGTGGACGAAATGTGGCAGCCAACTGAGCACAGCAGTGTCCCACAAACAGTCATGGATATGAGACTTTGCATCCATCCTAGTCCCCTCTGCTTTAACCCCCTATTCCCTTTCTAGATAAATGTTAATGGTCTTTTATGCGCTACCAAAATACTGTTATTTTTAACTTCTAAATTGGACTCCCTTGAATTATGTACTCATACATAGTAGCATTGCTGTTCAGGTATTCTTTTGAAAGAAGTAGGGAGAGGAAGTAATCTTTGTCTCTCTTTTTCTTATCTCTCCTAAAGGCATTAATTTATATGTAAATTAATTGTACAGTAGAACCTTGTTATAATGGGCTTCATTATAATACTTGCATTTGATTTAGAGCTTTTCACGTTTTCTAGGCGTCTCAAAGAGCTTCACAGAATATATTGTAAAGTGAATAGACTGGGCGAAACGCGGCAACCAGTTGCGCACAATGCAATGTAATGCGGAACGCAAAATACTGCCTCGTGCGGTGTCCCTCAGGGCTCTGTCCTCGGTCCCCTCCTCTTCACCCTCTATATGCTCCCCCTGTGGTGACATCATCCGCAGACATGGGGTTAACTTCCACATGTATGCGGATGACACCCAACTCTACCTTTCCTGCTCTACCCTCAACTCCACGATCACCGATGTCCTGACAGCTGCCTCTCCGACATCGAGTCCTGGACGAGAGATAACTTTCTCCAGCTCAACGTGTGCAAAACTGAGGCCCTCCTGATTGGCTCACGTCAGCGCCTCCGCACCTCAGGCGCTGACAGCATCAGCATCCAAGGCTGCACTCTCCACCTCTCAAAGCCATCAGGAACCTCGGGGTTCTGTTCGACCCTGAGCTGTACTTTCTCCCTCACATCCGCACCACAACTGGCACCGCCTTCCATCACCTCCGGAATGTCGCCAGACTACGGCACTACCTCACCCCTCACGCAGCTGAAACTCTGGTTTATCACCTTTATCACCTCAAGGCTGGACTATGGGAACTCTCTCCTCGCCGGCCTTCCCGCCACCTCCCTCCACAAGCTGCAGGTCATTCAGAACTCTGCAGCTCGTGTACTGTCCCGCACCAGGCTTCGGAAACACATCACTCCCACCCTCGCTCGCCTCCACTGGCTCCCCATCCCCCAGAGGATCGATTTCAAGATCCTCATCCTCACCTACAAGGCCATTCACGGCCTTGCTCCCTCCTACCTCTCCAACCTACTATCCCCCTACCTACCTGCCCGTACCCTCCGTTCCTCTGGCTCCGGTCTGCTCCACATCCCCCGCCCCAACCGCCCTACCATCGGTGGCCGGGCCTTCAGCCTCTCAGCCCCAGGCTCTGGAACTCTATCCCCCAGTGCCTTCGCCGCTTCCTCCCTTTCCTCCTTCAAGGCCGGTCTCAAGACCTTTCTCTTTGACCGTGCCTTCAGCTCCTCTCTCGAATCTCTACCCCCTCCTCGCTCCCTCCCTTCCCTTCCCTCACCCTGACCATTTCCCCCTTGCTCGGGTCCTGACCTAACTGTACAGCGCCTTGGGACGTCCTCCCGACATGAAAGGCGTTCAATAAATGGAATCTTGTTGTTGATGATGGAAATGTGAAAACAGAAACAGAAGTCACTGGGAACACTAATGAGTTCTAACGAAGGGTCGTTGGACCTGAAACGTTGACTCACTTTCGTTTCTCCTTAGATGCTGCCTGACCTGCTGAGTGTTCCCAGCGACTTCTATTTTTGCAATTAATATGGATTCACTTGGTTGTGCAACCCCAACACTTACTTAACAAAAAAATTAAAAATGTGCGGATAAAGTAGGCTGTTTTGGTTCAAAACATCGCCTGACTTTGTGCTTAGAAAACGGTAGAATTCTGCCGACATCCAATCTCCGCCAACAG